TACAGTTGTCCCTTGATAATCCGACAGGTATGGGACCAAAGGTGTGTCAGATTACCAAAAGTGTCCGGATTACCGAAAATAATTACATATTTCGCATTGTTTTGCTAGCAGTAACTTACAATATTCTCTACTCCAACTGTTCGAACAGAACTGCTCACATAAAACACACGAAATGTGTGTCATCGAGTAAGAATTGGATGGGGAGATTCACATCGCGACATGCTTCTGTGCAAGCAGACACGTAACGGTGACGGGTATCTTGACGGGAGGTCAAGATACTACTGAGCATGTCGGATTATAAAACGTCGGACTATAGAGGGACAACTGTACTTTATCAATTCGTCGATGACAAATTCACTTTGAAAATATAGCTTAATTGGGTCGAAATTTGAAAAAAATTGAAACCTATAAATTCCCACTGTCGTCCGTCCGTCAGTCCGTCTTTCCTTAATCTCGAGAGCAGAGTTACATGAAATATAAGACCAGATCGAGAAACTAAAGAGAGGGAAGTTCAAATTAACTATATACAAACTTCTGGCACAAAGAAATAGTTACGTTATTTCAATTCGGATGTTTTCTTCTGAAAGGAGTTAGATAAATGACCGGCAAGACTCTATTGTTAAAGGAAACGTATGATGTACAAGGCAAGCCACTACTAATCTGAGGTGACGAGCATATATTTTAAATTAAATAAATTTAAAATATGATTAAAAATTGCATCCGGCGTTGCGACTGTGTCATAATAAATAATTGCTTGTTTAGTCAAATTTTTTAGGGGGATTTACCAACAAAGACGAAAATACAATTGCTAAAGCCAATTGTCACCTGAAAATTTTCATCTGTGAGAATTGGCTTAAAATATAATAGAAAAAATCGTACCTTTCCCGATCCAATAGAACCAACAACAACTAACAGTTCTCCAACCTGTACATCAAGTGATATTGCTTTCAAAGTTGTATCGTCATCCTTAAAAATACAGAAATGACAATTTGTTATTATATTTTATTTATAATCATTACATTATATTTTAAATATTCTTTATTAGATGCAAGATTGAAATTCAAGTTATTATCCTGATTTACATGCATGATATTTCTGTATTTACAAGTATAATTTATAACAAACATCTGGAATTCCACGCCATTTTTTTTAATTCGTAACCGAACTGAATACAATAATTATTGATAAACAACACGTGATTTCAGGTCGTGGGTTCGTGACTGCCAATAGCTTGCCACGTGGGACACTTGTACGTACAAAGGAGTTAATTTTCCATGGAATCTTTATGGAGGCAACCCTACATGACAGATCGCCTAACGATAGCTTCTCCTGATTCCTTCAAACCAGCTTAATCCAATCAAATTACTTTAAACTTTCAAATAAATAACATAAAATGGTGTTTATGCAAAGAATAACGAGTTGCATAACTTTCTCGGCAACATTTGGTGGGACCATCTGTTACGATATTTTATTGAAAAAACTTTTTATAAGATGGTGCCACCAAATGTTGCTGGAAAAGTTAAGCAACTCATTGCTGGCTTTTTTTTTTAATTTGAAAGGGATGTGATCNGAATGTTGATAAAGCATGATAATGTGAAAAATGTATCTGTAATCTCTATTTACAATTTAGTCGCTACGGGGTGACACCACAATGAGATCTCGCACCACCTCAAAATCTTCCTAGAGCAGCCTCTGGTTCGGACCGTGAAAAAAGTTTTCTTTCCAGTTCGGCCCGGGGGCAAAAACTGTTGGCCACCCTTGGGTTAAGGCAACGAAAGATGTGGGTCTTCTGCCAAGGGAAAAAACTTTTATGGAAAACTGACCCTGATTTAGATGTTATCACGTTTGACACGCAATTGGCACACGTTTATTTCTAATATAATAATGATCATATCTCACCTATTGGATTCATATCCAAGAAAGTTATTGGAGTGCGAATAATGCAACGAAACATATTTTTGTGAAGATTAATGGATGCCGCCATGGACATTTCGTAGAATACTGACACGGAAATAAAAGTCACGACTAACAATCCGAATATCAGTCCAACATAAACATAAACGTTAATTTCACGTCTATGAAGAAAATCTTCACCCCCGGTTTCGTTGCTGTTGTTTACTGCTAGTGTAAAGTTTTCTATATTTTTTGTATCAATAAACGCCGTTTCATCTTTAATCCTAAAAAATACAAAGAAATAATTACTTCTATAAATTTGAAATAGTGTTTGCCAAATTATAAGATTTACATATAACACCAAACAATATATCTATAATACATTAATTCGTCACACTGAGTTGCGTGATATGCTTTAGAACATTGCTAACACTTTAAAGCATTAAGTTTTTCTCGTGTTAATGCCCTGAGTACATTGTAAATTTAAATTTATTCTTTAAAATAAGTGTTTCTACTTTATAAAATATTTGATACCATTTTAAGAGCCATATATCGCCACCATTCGTAACAGCTTGAGATACAATTAAGAAAAACAATATTATAATTTTGAAGAAGGAATTAGCTCCGGCATCAACGTATGCTTTGTACACAGATATTCCCAACGATTTAAATGACTTTTCTTCATTTTCTTTTGTTGCTTTAACATTTTCTTTCTATTTTAATGAAAGAAACAAATATATTAAATTTTATTATGTTTTAAAATGGAGTTACAATTTTTCTGAATAATTTAGAGAAAAATAAACAATAAAAGTAATAAATTTTTCGACAGAGTTGAGTAAATTCATAGCAATCAATAGTCATAACTTAGTTAACAATATAAGGCTTCTAGGTGTATAATAACTGTGCATCTCTAATGTTAATATTTTGTATTGTTAGCGGTAAATAACCAAAATTTCCGTATATTCCGGATACTTTGAAGATATACAAACGATAATGAAAAGTTCACAGAACACATTGCATGCTGTTAAGTATGCAATTGATACCTAATATCAACGAGCACCACTGCCATACCTGGATTAAGTTACTTCTCTTATGTATTGTATTCTATACTCAAATTGTATTTTACACTCTCTTATATTGTATCATTACTTAATTTGCTGTATTGTACTCAGTTTTATGTAATTTATGTGCTTTTTCCTTCTGCACTTATACACATCTTCATGTTTTATTTTGTATTAACACTTGTAATATTGCATAGTGTCTGTACTTGTAAAGCTTTCAAAATCCATCACGTTGTAATTCTGTATGTACAGTACCTTATACTGTAAACAAATAGTAATTAACTATATCATCATTGTATTTAACTGCAACATCATTGTAATACCTGCATCATCATTGTGTTAACTCTTGTATACTATTCCAACCCACCTTTTCACATCTCCGTAATTCCTGTATTGTAAACAAGTTAACAATTACTGTATCTGGTTTTCATTCCCGATAGTGCCATCCGAAGCCGGGCATGTACAAACTAATGTATATAATAAAGATATTGACTGACTATTTTGACTGTTATGTATGCAATTGTTTCAGTAGAACTATGACACTATTAGTAAATTGTAGTATATAAAAGCTTCTTGTCTGAATGATTGTTAATGAATGAATCTTAAACATTGTGTAGTAGAGATAACAGAGAATTATCATACTGCAACTCAGGACATAGAAATGGCACTTCTATCACCAGAATACAATTTTATAATATTTTGGTATGCGTTTCGGTTTAAAAGACCTTCATCAGCCATATACGAATATATAATTATCTGTTGTAGATGTACCGATTCACCAAGGACAATGCTTATCAATTAGAATTTTTATTATGAACAGACTTGTTTTATATCTACATTAATTAAAGATTTATTATAATCAGACAATGGTTCCATATTTAGTAGTAAATTAGCTCAAGAAAGTCAGCAGTTTGTTCAGTCTCTGTTATTTTTACTACACAGTATTCGAGATTCGTTGAACATAGTTTTATCTATTTGTATTATGTAGTTTAATAGTGAATTATCGAGTACGTGCTATTGAATAAGTAGGACGAATGTCTTTGATATAACTGATGCTTTTTTAAAATAAATGAAATGTGTAAATTCTACAACAAGAGATAATTTTCAAAAATACGTGTGAATAAACACGAGTACACATTTTGACAACGTACCACGTGATTGGCGGTGTTTTCAATTTCAACGCTATGAAAAATATCTACATCTTTTGTATTAAGTAATTCTTCTTCAGCCATCTCTTTTTGAGTATATTTTTCATCGTTTGCCGAAATTCCCAAGTTGATTTCCGAGTTCATGATTTTGTTGTAGTCGCCCAACGCTGCACAGTTTCCCTAAAATGAGAATTAACAAGAAATATAAAACTAATAACAAAAATTTATTTTCATAGAATATAAGATTGATGTGCAAATCCTGTGTTTGATCATACACAATTTTATGGAAAGGAAAATAAAAATCTCAACTGTTCACGTCTTATTTTACAGTTCATCTGATGTGGCATGAATAGGGGATTGAAATCAAAATTAATTTGAAATAATCTGGAAAAATAAACATAGAAACATAGAAGAGATGAAATAGACTAGATCAACATCAAAATTGAAGAAGCTTGCGTAAATCCTACGGTGTATTATGAAATTTTTATCGTTTTAATGCCTAAAATTATTCAAATCAAAAAGCACTGTTAATAAATCTTTAAAATTGTAAAGTTCTTACTTTTATTATGATACGTTACGGACTCAAAAGAAAATTTTGTTTAGAGTTATTCGTATAAAATTTTGCCTTTCGAATCTCCATTTAATCATGCAATAATTTACTTATAATGCATAGTAGTAGAAATCGCATGCTGTATTAGCCTGACTAATACTCCAAGTGAAGTATTTAATAATATACATATACACGTATTTATGAAATAATTTTCCTTTACTGCCTGTTATTTACATTAGTTTCAAGAATAATTGCTGAATAGCCGTTTACAGAGAAGTATAATTACTGTTTTCATCTGTATTAGAGAACATGACAGTGTTATTCTTTCAACTGTAAATTTTGCACGTTGCAAAAAATTTAAGGTGCATTAGTTTTGTCCGAATAGTGCATACAATTACTGTACTGTACGTCAGTTTGACGTCAATTTTTCAATTTTCTTACGTTAAACTATAATAATGACGTTAATTTGATGTAAAAGTGTACACTATTTACACAAAACACAAGCTCGGCACTATTAGTTTTCTGCTTTACTTTACAGTATCAGAGAAGAGAAAGTTTGAGAAAAGTAATTAAAGATTTTATCTAATATTAAATTAAAAGTAGTATTTTTAACATTCAATTTTATTAGGTATAAAAAACAAATATAAACATTTGAGAACGAACATATTTCAAGGAATTTAAACAAAACATTTACTCACCTGTTTTAATACTAAAATTTTGGTTGCGTATTGTAAGAAATGAATTTGGTGCGTAACAAGAATACATATTTTATTTGATAAATATTTCATTATACACCTGTTAAATAATTAGACGTAGATAAATTCTCATATAAAAAAAATATTTACTATAAGTTTAATTTACTTTTCGAATATGTGTTTTGCTACCGGCGTGTCAACAGCACTTAACGGATCGTCTAGAATAAATATGTCGGCATCCCGATACAATGCCCTAAAATTGAGTAAAAATTTACATGAAAATTTACAAATATTTAAATTCTCAAAGATAACAGATACAAACTATCTGGAATAATATTTTGACTTACCTTGCTAGATTAATTCGAGCTTTTTGGCCACCACTCATTGTGGTCCCTCTTTCTCCTACGCGTGTCAGATCTCCTTTAGGAAATAAACTAATATCCTAAAATAAATTATGTAATCAAAATGTTATCTTCGTTCGAAAAATGAAATTTTAGATTAATTAATTGCTTACAACTCTCAAAATTTTGAAATTATTGTAAATTATCAGACCGTATCAGAAAAGATAAAGATTTCAGGCATGCAAAGAATCAGTTGAATTCGTGTTTAAAAAGATGTCGAAAAATTGCGAGAAATTATTAACTGAAACATGAATAATATTTATGAAATATGCTATTGTATAAGTTCTATAAGCAAAACATGTAGAATTTAATGGTAAGTGTTTGAAAATTTTGAATTGTTAGCCCAATGATTCCCAATCGCTTGTTCCATGATACACTGGTGTTTCGTGAACAATCCACAAGTGTTCTGCAACTAGTGTTTGTGAACCATCTGCAAATGTTATGTAAAAATTCCTAGAACTTACTTTGTTGTCACTCTTTCTGCTCTGTAGCAAAAGAAAGACCATATTTTTATTTTATCGAGCTAAATACATATTCGGCAAGACTACAATGGGGCAGCTGATATATCCAGGATGGACCAACCCACAAAATTTCTGGATTTAACCGAGCGATAGCCGTTCGGCCATCAGGCCCTCGAAAAATTGCCATCTGTCGGCCACACTTCAAATCATGAGTATCACAGTTGCCAACGTACAGGGCAATCAGACAATATGTTCATGATAGATTATCTGTTCAAATTCCAAAAAATAAACATAAAAAAGTCATTTTTTTCAACCCACAAATATTGTATATTTATCGACAGTAGACAAAGTACAAGAAATTAAATGTTTCAAACTTTTTTGTACATTTTAAAGGTTTTTACGTGACTGTCTCTCGTAAATTGAAATAGACGAGTGCACGGATTTTAGTGGCAATTTAGCGTATTTAACGAAAATAAAACAGAAAATTAACCTTTAGAAACTTAACGTAAATAATAATTTGATCAGAAATTTTTATCTAGAAAATTTTAAAATATCAAAATTAAAATTTATATCGACGGTGTTTCATAAATCAAAGAGTCAGTTGCGTTTACAAAACAAATGTGTGTGAACCCGTCCTTCCTCATTGTGGGCCTGGCTGCACCCATGATGAACCTTGGAAAGAAGGCACAAATGTTTTATAGAGCGTCGATTATCCGAATCAATTGGGGACTGGGGTTGTTCGGAAAATCGATATTTCGGATAACCGATTATGTACGAAAAAATATATTAATTTATCCTATGTTGAAATTTTTCTCTGTTGCGTGTCGCTTCGCGTTGAATTTTCGTCGATGTTAAGCCTAACGAAGACTATTGTATCGTTCAAAATTATTTTTTTATTTTGTACAAACAAAATAAATATATTGAAAAATATAAAAACAATAAAAAGTATACTTCAGAAGTTAATTTAGTATCAAAAACGTAAAATATTTGAGTAGCCAAAGACATAGCCAAAGATTGCAGCACCACAGCACTGGCAAAATTTAAATTTGCCGACTGCAATTCTTTCGGATAATTGACGTTTCGGATAATCGACGCTTTACTGTATTATAAAAACTCAAAAGAACTAGCAGATTCACTTTTTGACCTGTTTTTAGCGATGTATCATGCAGTAGTATGAAAATTTCAAACGAATTATTACTAATAACATTATATACAAGTCTTACCTTTTCGAGTGCTGTTATATATAAAACTTCATTATATTTATCTTCTCGATATTCGCCGCCAAACAATATATTTTCCCTGATAGTACCGTTGAATAACCAGGCTTCTTGGGAGGCATAAGCGATTTTTCCATTTACTATTACTTTTCCAGAACAAATAGGAATTTCTCCCAAGATTGTCATCAACAAAGATGTCTGATAAAATATAGTATTGAAATAATGATTTATTATAGGATAAAATGCCTATTCTAGAGGTTGTTTATTCAAATAATACTCAGTAGAGTAAGTCACTAGTCACTAATCACTAAAGTGTATTAAGATTAATTATATTAGATTAGACTTAAAATACCAGACGTTATCAGAGTTTAGAATCTTGAGGAAACTTTTCTAGATGAAAAACTATAGACTCACAAATGAGATGCAGAAGAATCTACTCAGCTGAGTCTTAAAAGTAGAAGAAGACAGAGGAAGTCAGTTGAAAGGAATGTTTACGAAAGTGATGAGGAGCAGTCGAGGTTGCAACCAGAAAGAGAAAATAATTGTTGAGAAAAGCAAGAAAATTCTCGATTTAAACAGGAGATAAGCTATCTGCTATTTTGTATTCGGTTAACATAATACAGAAGAAAGAAAATTTTGCTTTAAACCAAGAGTTTTTCTTCAATTTATGAAGTAACTGGAAATAACATTCATCTGCTCAGAGAATTTTCTTCGACAAATTAAAAATGCATTAAAAGAATTCTATTAAAAATAGCCCACGGTAATTTGTATGATAAAAAAATATATATATATTGAAAATTTTAAAAATTTGGTATTCACAATTTGTTGTTTCAAAGTAACCATTGACAAAAATAAATAAATAAATAAATAAATAAACACAAATCTTCACTCACAGAGACGACCTTTTATTTGAGGTTAGCCTCTGTAAAAAAAAGGAAATTGGCTAAAAAGATCTGACACCGATACCATAAACTAAAATAAGTAGTTCGTTAAAACATTGTCAACGGATAATCTGTATTATTTAGTTTGTCAATGGTGATTGTAAAACGACAAATTGTGAATTTGTATTCTTCAATATATTTTTCTACTATTTTAAAAAACTATTAAGAATCAGTTTAAGACCTTCGAGGCAAAGGAGTTCGAGGCACCAAACTTTGCCTATAAATCAGATTTGAATTTCCGACAATGCTCTCATGGATAGACCGCAGAAGTAAAAAGGTTATTAATTATTAAAATTATTCCTCATATACCATGAATCAGCAAATATTAGATGTATATAGAGGATAGTCATAAAGATTTTTTATTCAAAGCTCTTTGTAGCTGTAACCAATGTGCGAGTTGACACCAAAATTTGTATTCAGACAATACAAAGGACATGGAAACATATTTTGTAAAAAAAAATTTTAGTTCAAAAACTCCTGTTAGAAGACGCTGTACGGGAAAATACACGAGAAAAACACAACTAAAATGAATTTATTTGTTCTGCTAAAAATATGCCTTCTGCAGAAGCCATTTACTGATGTAATGGTACATGTTCGCTTAATTTTTCAGGTGTAAAATTCAGGCGATAAACAGCTGACTTTATTCCTAATATTTAAAATGACAGATTAAGATGTCGCTTAAAAGTTTGTCTTCGATATTTACTGTATTTTGTTTCGTGTATTTTCCCGTAAAGCGCTCTTTAACAAAAGAAGTACCTTTGTTTTGAAAATTATTTTTTGCCTTACTTGCTAGACTATATAGAAATTTTGGTGCCAATTTGCTTATTGTTTACCAATACATAGTACTCTGAATAAGAAAAAGTTAAATTAGAGCAACCATGTATAACAGTATATAAAATCTTTTGAAATATATATACTGATACTAAAAACGTTTGTTAAAACATTAAATTGCCATATTTTAACTTAAGGTCTATTATTTATTTAAATAAGTAAAAGACCGTTTAATTTAACTGTATATTTATGAGGATATAGGGGAGACCGGGGCAAGATCGGCATGTTAAGATTTACTTAAATTTTGTGTAATAAATACTGCTGTAAACTGAAAAAAAAGCTTTGCATATTGTCTATTGGAATGTTACCTTACTATAGAACTGGTTAAAATCAGTTTGGAAATAAAAATAATTAAAATAATTACAACTTTACAAGAAGAGAGAAATTGACGAAGTTGCCCCGGGTATAGGGGCAAGATCGGCAACTTCTCTCTTTTTGTAAAGTTGTAATTATTTTAATTATTTTTATTAAAGTTG